CCCCAGTGGGCCGTGGAAAAATGATCAAACGTTGACCGGTCCACGGCACTAAAAAGGTTGGGGACCACTGCCATAGGGGATAAAAGCAGGAAATAAGAATTTTGGATTAGATAGGTCCTGGGCCAGATCAAGCCAGAGATATCCCTAGAAGCCAAGATGACAAGACTTACGGCCGATGCAGACCGGCACAAAGGGCTGGCCTGGAGGTGGAGTTGGGGCAGGGCACCTGTATGCCGGCCGGCCCAACTCCACCCCGACACCATCCTGACGCTATGCGCCTGTCCGCACAGCGTGCGGCATCAGGACACCCTCCTGATGCAGCATGCACACACACTGCACCAAAAGGGTGCAAAAAAGCCTCAGCGGTGGCTAAAAGGGTGGCCTTTTGCCACCCCCCAAAAGAAATGGCATTTTGCCGCTCTTTTGGGGGCGGCAAAAAGGAGGATCGGGGCCCGTGGCATGTAGTTGCTGTGGCCCCAATCCACTGCTCCCAGGGGCGGCTCAGAGCCATCTGTATCGGCCCTTAGACTCTTGTACTTTGGACAGATCATGAGAAGGCATGAATCGTTGGAAATGACAATAATGTTAGGAAAGGTGGAGAGAAGTAGTAAGAGAGGAAAACCACATTCTAGATGGATGGACTTTATTAAAGAGACCATGAATATGAGTTTGCAGGAGTTGAACGGAGCTGTAGAGGATGGGGGGCCTGGAGATGTCTCATCCATAGGGTACCCATGGGTCGAGATTGACGCAAAGACACTTAACAACAACAACAACAAGGTCTCTGATTTGATGCAACATGATTCTTTCCGTGCCATTATGTTGTTCTGCTTTTTTTGTGAAGCTCCACAATGAAAGTGCTAAAGGCATCAATTTCCTTTTCTTTCCTTTTCTCCCTGTCCCCCTAGCAATGGATATATAGCCTCTGCAAAAAAAATAAGGAAGTTTAGAAAGGGGGCTTAGCATTTCTTTGTTTTCACAAAGCCGCTCCTTGAGAAATCCTTGCAATCCTTCCCTGAGCAATTTTCGACAATGGGTGAAATTTGAGAGCAACTAAAAAAAGTGAATGCAACCAGTACACCTGGTTGAATGTTTGCCAAGGGCTGGGCCCCTGAAAATAGATCATTTGTGATGTTAGGGGCGTCACGAAGGGGAACGGGGGGTGCAAATTGCACCCGGTGACACCCTAAATGGGGTGACACCACTGCTGACCAAACATCTGCCTTTGGATAGAAATGGACTGTGGCATTCACTTGTGTCTCTTTAAAATGCTGAAGAGATCATATGAGTGGGGTAAGGCTCAGTAGGAGGAGAAAGGATTTAATTTAAACAATTAATTTTTAAAAAATTATTATTTATTTTAGAATATTCTTTTTAATTTTCTTTAAA